TTTTAAAAGGATAAATGGAATAACTCATAATAACTGTAGGCTTTTTAAACTATTATGAAACATGAACAAAACAAGAAACAGATCAAGCAGCGACAAGCTAACAAAGACCAAACCCAGAGACTAATATAATCTATAATCTTGCTATACTGAATTTATTTTGTGCATGTGGTCTCTATTGTCATTTTAGTATCTCCTCTTAAAACTCAAATGCTGAAGTATTTTTTTTAAGTATCTGACCACATAACCATGTAAGCAGCTACTCTCAATTAATTGCTTATATAATGAGGGGTTTTCTGCAGACTTTGAACTGGGCTTTAAATATTCTACAGAACACATAGGATTCACCTTTCACTATAATGAAATCTACTAGCTTCAGAAGGTTGGATTTTTTTAAACACTGTTTTAGCATCAGCAATAATATAGCCATTCAGTTTACCTAAAATTTCTTTTCTTTACGGAAGTAGTGAAGAAACTTTAGTCAGGAGAACTACTGTCATAATCCATCACTCCCTGGAATTATAGTATATATGTACAATACTTACTTTTAACGCATCTTGGACTGCAGTTCTGCCTTCCTTTCCAAGGAAAACATTATAGGGGTAAAGCCGGTCAATAACATGCTGGACTGACATCATAGGAAAGGAATCCTAATTCAAATTAAATAATACAAATTAAAAAAAGAAATTATTCACTCATTCGATCATCATCCATTAACCTGAAAATCTTACATAGCACTGAACAAATAAAACTGCAAGGGCAGGATATAAATGACCACTACATACAGTATTCAATCAAATTTCAAAACAAGCATTTCTCAAATGCAATTCATTATAATATAGATGTCTCAAGTAGATTAGAACCACCAGATCCTAAAAATTACTTTCTTTCCTGTGCATAAACGGAAGCTACAGTAACTCGCTCAGATATCTAAAGATATTTAAAGATCAGAGAGACAAATTCCACCAGAGGTAACCAAGATTCATAGTATTACCAAAAAAGAATCAATATGACAAGAAATATATATTAAATACTGATCTACACATTCACAGCAATTTCTAGTGTTTAATTTTTATTCTATCCCATTGTACAGATTCTACTTAAGTCAATTCTTAGAAATTCTGAAGTTTGATCAAAACTGTTTTGTTTTGAAATGAGATACTAAGTCTGCTTGCACTTTCCATACAAAACTGAAAACAACGTTTTTTTTCCCATCTCCTTGTTAGTTACAAGTACTACATTTTTTGTCAGTTGCTGCCTGAACTAGGCAAAGATTTTATAATTTTGCTGCAGTAGTGGAGAAAGAAATGGAAATGCATATATGAATACTCAAGAAATATTTGCATGAAGCCACTGTTGGTGGAAAAATGTATTTCAAAAAACCCTAAAGTAATGCTTGATTGTTTGCTTTAAAAAAGAACTTCTTGTAACAGTAGTGAAAAATAGTCAGTGGACTAGCACTACTTTTTAAGCCCTCATCCAAGTAAAAAGTAAATTATATCATTCAAATCAAATCAACTGATTTTCAGTTATACACTTGGATTTACACAGGCACCCAACTGAAAGAAGAGCTGCTTAGAAATGAAGTCAGGACATGCATACTTTATGAAATGCATAATTCAATTTATACTTATAATCAGTAATACTATTTATAATGTTCCATATTTAAAAAAGATCAGTAAAAATAAACCATTTAAGTCACTGTAGTAAATGTCCTGCTTAAAGGATCAGGGAGTCCTTTATTGCATTTTAAAAGCGCTCTGTCTATATATAAATACTTAACATATAATTTGTCCACATTATCTCAAACTAATAATAATTACAATGGCTTGTATGAAATTAGCCTCTTCAGAACAGTACCCAATGAAAAAATTCTCCCATTTAGCAGACAGGAGTTTTCAACTGAAGAAATACATTTGGGACTGTTTGAATCCATGACAGAAGATACAAAGCTAGTCATTACAATGTATTCCCTTCACAACCAAGCTAGAAGTAGAGGATGGCAGTGCCCCAGCATGTGAAGGAAAAATGCTGTAGCTAGAATCACTAGGAACAGTCAGCTTAGAAAAAGCAAGTGATTAAAACTAATTCTAAAAGAAACAGTTCCCTTCTACCTAAAAAAGACACTCTCATACAATGATAACACTTCACATTCTCTAATGTAAAATAAAATGCTTCCTTCATTCCATAGTTTAGATAATAGCTTAAGGCTCATTTTCTTTCCATTATTCTGAAAGCCATCTGGCATTCATTTAAAAATAATTTTTCACTACACAGCTCAAAGAATAAAAAGTTACAATTTATTTTAAAATCCAACATGTATTTCTTTCCTAAAGCCCTTCAAAAAACATTTCATTTCTGCGAATCTGATTTTTAATCACTTCTTAACATCTGATGCAGTATAACTAATTAAAAAAAAATTATGTCGGTAAGTAGAGAGCACAACTGAGGGGACTGAACACCACAGTAACAAAAGTAATTGTTATGTTTTAATGTATATCCAGTAAAATATGTAGACGTGATCTGTGGCTGAGCAGTACCATAAGTAAAATGACTGTACAGGAGACAGAACAGAGAAAGTCCTCTATAGGCAACTGGTACCTTGGAGAGAGGGTTTCAGAAGCTGTCTTGGTGTTTTACCCTCCTGTAAAGACGGCAAGACTGTATCTTCCTGCATATAAACCAGCACCGATCCCTCTCTCTCTTTATACAGATCTCATCTCCCTGACTTCCTTCCAGAGGCATCTTCAGTTTTTACTTTGGCTTTTTACTATGTAATCATAAAGTCCAAGGGACAAAAGCCTGTCAGAAAGCAGAAAGACTGCCTGAGATGTAGTCCTGACCTGACTGATTTGCCACTGTGAACTCAGCAAAGTGCAGTAGTTGTTATTTCCCTGTGGTGGTCTGCGGCTGTCAGAAACTACTGCACCTTCAAGTGTGCACAACCTGTATCTTCAGGTAATCCTCTATGACTATGGTTATTCTAAAATCTGCCAGCCAACTCAAAGACCTAGTGTAGGCTTCATCTCACACAGCTTAACTGTGTCACATACTCATATTTGAATATGGTTGGTTTGGGTCCTTTTTGGTGTCAATGGAGAATAACAGGGTCTCTATAATGCAATCAATATGATCATGCATACTACTAAATCAGAAGAACTTTCAGGTTGTGATTTTTATTTGTCTTCACTGACTATGTCAGTATCATCAAGTAACCTATAGATTCATCTGAAGTCAGTTAAGATGATTTAGTGGAATAGAACCCATTTTGAGAACTAAGATACATTTAATCACAACACAAATCTTCCATCATGCCATATTTTTTTCCTTTACTATTACGCTATATGCTTGGTTAATGTATTATCCAGAGATAACTGACTGGTGCTTTTCTCCCTCAAACCATCCTTAGTTTTTTTCAGGTTTATTTTTTAAATGCTCATCTTATTCTAACAACACGAATAATCCAAATCTAATTTTAAGCCCATACAGTTTCACAGCACATGTGTATGCACATACCAAAATCTGAACTGCAGCCGATAAGCTGTCTAAAGGAAAATCTGGAAGTCCCAATGTAGAAGATTCTTGTGAGCAGAGAGTTGTAGCAAAAGATAGGAGCTGAGAAATTCTGCATAGGAAAAAATAATTACACAGTTTTATACATGCTATCTGTATTTAAAATACTAAAGTCTAAAAAGTTAAATAGAGTATAAGATGCTGAAACTACTTCTGAGTGCAAATAAGAAAGGTGTGATTGAAGTTCTAAAGCATTAAGGATTCATTATATGAAGGCTGCATATGAAAAGCTCTGTGAGCATACACCCACACACATTAAAAAATTTCTTTCAGTTCTGGTCTCTATGCAGTGAAAAAAGACACAAAAATAGCAAGGAATCCTGAAAGGACACCACTTTTCTTCATTCATTCCATTTTCATTTTCTTTAAATATGAAAAATTACCTCTCTGTGGAAATGTTTGATCCAATTGAATATAATAGCTGAAGATGGTCCTGCAAATAGAACGTAAAATCACAGAGTAAATTAATTTGGGGATCAGACTGTCGGTCACAGCTCATGATGCATAATTTCTATTTTTCCCTCTAATTTAGACATGTGGATTCTACTCACTCCTTGACACAGAATTAATTTTATTAAAAAATAAATAAATAAAGGAATAAAGATTATAAAATCTTTTCTTTTAGGGTTACATGTTCTACGAAGTTTATTTTTCTGCTGCAACATTCCTTGGCAACAATAAACCTGCTTTCCAGGAATTTATTAGGCCCCATTATGACAAATGCCCTTTCAGAGAAATTTATTACTCAAGGATTCTTTTCAAAGGTGAGCTAAGTAAAACATAACGTCAAAATATTAGCTCTAGTCAGTACACACAATCCTACCTTTCTGCTAGGATACTTACCTTAAAGGGCAGATGATAAACATCTCTAGCTTGAAATCGAGACCGAAGGGGAGGATCCAAAGGGTTACCGGAATATTTAGGTACTGGCAGGCCCAATGCTATCACTCGAAAATCTTCACTAACCCGAACAATCTTCCAAGCATCTAACTCTGATTTTGCATGACTCTAAATTAATTAAAATAAAGCAACAAGAAAAGAAAAAAAAAAACACCCTTAAAGCCTCATGACGACTAAGCTGTAGACTGTGTAACAGGTCATTCAACCTAAATGTGGCCATGTTTTCATTCAGAGGGGCTAGAGAGGGCTGAACTGCTCAAATCTGTGGCTGGTAAAAGCAAGTTTTTCAAAAATGAACATAGATGGAATGCTTGATTAAGTGCAGCTTTTGGCCTGTAGCAATTTGACTGAAGATAGTCAAAGCTGAGAAAGTATCATTATACCATTGATTTCACAAAAAAAAACAGAAAATAAGTGGACCACAAAATTAGTTGTATCCTAAAATATTAGAAGTGGGTTACCATGAGCAAATTTTTTTCTTTTTTTTTCCCCCTTAACTGTAAAAGAGACTAAAATGTGCATCTTAAAAGTTTAATTTACAAGTTACGCTTTATTATAACCAAGAACGCAGAACTAGGCTCCTTTATGAGGACATTAAATGTTGTGTTTCACTTATCGTATAAAAATTCACTGCACACAAAAAATGCACTCTTTAGTCTTCCCACATCACAGTTACGTCTTCCTTGAAACCATACATGAGTACATTTCCTGCAGATCTAGATGTACAGTAATTATTCACACAGGAGAAGAGAAAAAGAACATTAGCTTATATAATACAATATTCCCCAAACAACAAAACAACAATATTAGATTTAGCATTGTAGCAAGAGATTTATTTAATTCATATACTATTAGCAGTGTGCCCAAGGCACTCATTTTGAAACATTTTATCATTAGGAAAAGTGTTAAAAAGGAAAAAAGAAAAGAGGCAGATGATTTGCATAATTGCAACCAAAGCCTATCTAAATTTGAATTCTCATTTTCAGTCTTTAAATACAATTACATTTTAAAAGCTTACATTTAAAATATAATGATAATGATTCTAACAACTGCATCTACTAATTAAATATCAGAAGTATGTTTTGGGAAAGGCATGGATCAGAAGAATGATAGGAGATGATGAGAGAGGAAACAGATGAGAGGCATAAGAAATAAGGATATATTTTCAGAAATCCAATACACTTCAGCATAGTTGGCAACTTCATTCAATCGGGGTCAATGACAGAAGGCTTATTGTAAATTTCCTTTCTGTACCACATGGGTCTGAATTAGGTATTTTACCACTGTTAGGTATGACAGACAGAAACAGGAGCAAGCAGGTGTCATACTGTTAGGAGAGACTGACAGGTATGTGATTGGAAGCTATGGTACATGAAAGTAAGATTCAGAGTACTACTGAAAACTGTTTGATGAGATTTACTGAGGACCCCGAAAGCCTGAAAAGTATCCACTCACATTTAAGCAGTAGGACTCGAAGCCCCCAAAAAAGGAAAATGGCTAAAGCAGCAATGGCAGCAGATGCTAAAATCCCTTTTCCTATCAAAATTTCTAACCATTTCCTATAATTCAGATTGGCTGTTTACATATACTTTTGTAAATCAAAGGCAAGACAACACTAAAGAATATAGCGTTGCTCATCTTTATCTCATTTTTTTGGTATCCTAACGTTTTAAAAGCTTAGCAACAGGGTGTCCTGGGTTCAGCAGTAGCAGTCATTTTTCTCCTTCTTGGTAGCTGGTGCAGTGCAGTGTTTTGACTTTTGGCTCGGGAACAGAGCTGATAACAATGTTTTGGTTTGGCCAAGGACTTTGTGAGCCTCATGCTCTGCCAGGGAGGAGGGAAGCCAGGAGGAAGCAGAGACAGGATACCTGACCCAAACTGACCAAAGAGGTATTCCATACCACAGCACGTCATGCCCAGGAGGTAACTGGGAGTCACCCAGAAGGGCTGGGAGACTGCAGGGTTGGAGGAGGTATCGGTCGGTGCTTGGTCGGGCTAGTGGGGGCGAGTTATCGGTTGGATCGTGGTGATGTGTTGTATTCTCTTCCCCTGTTATTTCCTTTATCATTGTTATTACTGGTGGTAGCAGTAGTGATTTGTGTTATACCTTAGTTACTAAACTGTTCTTATCTCAACCCGTGGGAGTTGCATTCTTTTTGACTCTCCTCTCCGTCCCTCCAGGAGTAGGGGGAGGGCAAGAAGGGGGGGGAATAAGTGAATGAGTTGTCTGGTTTGGTTTAAACCACGACACAGGGCTACTACAATGCTGAAGCATTTTCTGAACTTCATGTGCATAATTTCCATTTAAATCTATTTTCTCAAGTATATTTTAGTTACTCTTACATTGTGGCTTTTACATTTTAGAAGCATACAGGCTTACAGCATTAACATTGACTATTCATTTTCATGTGAAGAGACAAGATACAGATGAAAACTTTTTGCTGTTGTTGCAAGCAGCAGTTTGACTTTTCACATAGCTTTCACTCTGCCTATGTCATCCTATGTAACACCCCAGAAAAAAATCCAACACAGAAACCCTGATGAGACTGCCTCCATCTGACTCATAAATACCCTCCCCTTCATAACAGTATTCTAGCACTGCCAAGAACATGAAAAAGACCATGGAAAATCCAAACAGCATTTCCATACCTGCAGAAGTTTGTCATAACGCTCTGCAGACATAAGAAAACGACCATCTTCAAGCTGCATTTCCCTATTCTCCAGTAAATTGTTTAATACGGGCAGGACGTTCCGCTCAGCCTTCTCCAAACCTTCCAAAACAAGGATTCTGCCTTCTGTAGCTGCACGAACTGCACACTATTAAAAAATATAAAAATAAGCATTACATAAACATTAAATCCTGCTGAAAAAGAACTCCCAGGCGCTTCCCAAAACAGTATTTATTTCTGTAATAATCAATAAAATTCACATCAGTAGAAATCAGCAGTAGCTGACTGCCTTAGTGCTACACATCCATGAGCCAGACTTTTATCTCCTACCTATTATAGGGAATGACAGAAATAAGTTCCGGTATTTTATAATGAGTAAAATGTAAAACCTTGCAAACACTTTAGTGTATACCCAGTATGTACTAATATGTGGCACCTTTTCATTTTTATATTGCGTAATATTTTGTACTTTAATGCCATCTAAAAATTCTGCAACTATTTATACAGCAAACATACAATCAAGGTAGTTCATCATATTTACAATTCCATTAAAGTATTTAGGAAAAAAGTCAGGTATTGCCTTGGATTGCTCCTGGTATGCACCAGTGAAATTCACCCCTGGTACACTGCTTTAGTCTGACTAGAACAGAAGTTCATTGAAACCAAACATGGATGATAAAACCAAAATAGTGCTATAAATAAACATTTAAAAATGTGATAAAATCATAAAGATTTAGAACTACATTCCCTGAGTAGAACATGGTCTTCTACAAAACCAGAATAAAAATGTAGCCATTAACCCGATAATCCTTTGGAGCCGCTGGGATAGGAAGTTATTTCTTTTCAGTATTTCACTTTATTAGTTGACAACGTGGCTGTTTATTTAAGTGCATAATGTGAAGCCAAAATGTAAAACTAAACTCCAGCACTGGTAATTTGTGTAACTTGCAGTCAATGACATTCACTCAGGTAAATTAACTGCACTTCCTATCTAATATTCACAATTACTGTCCAGTAAAAGACACTGGAATTCAATACATTCTTGTCTACTTCCCATTTGCAGAAGTTTAATCACATAATTAAGGGGCAGATTTAGGCAAAGACAACATTTAGAAGCACCAAAGAGGCACCAAAGAGTATTCCTTTGCATTCCTATTACATTTTAATACAATTTTAGACACAAGCACAGCTGCAAAGGAGAATAAATGAAGTCTTTTCCCATCATGTCTCCCATTAACTTTACAGAAGAACCTTTCATATAATACTAGATGGGAATCTCTGATGAATAAAATACATGCCAAAAACTGGGCTGGAAAGAAGGAAAATATGAGAAAGAATAATGAAGAGTATCAGAATACAAAAAAAAACAACAAAAAACTACATATGAAAGCAGAGGTATAAAGAACAAAAGCATAAGCATAAACTAGAAGCAAAGAACAGGTCAGCACAACAAATGAATTGTTACATGGTATAAAGCATACAACAGAATCAGAGATCTATTTGAAAAGATAAGACACTAAATGATAAAACTAACTAATTTAGATGCTCCTTCTGTACAGTATAGAAGCATAAATAACTACTGGTAAATTGACCATAATGTAAGCTTTTCACATTGTAATTAAAATGGAAATAAAAAAGGCACTCACAAGTCTTGGTACACATCTCAAGATCAAGCTCTCTTCTCTGAAACATAATATTTTAATATCTAGCCTCAAAACCAGTATCTGAGGAACTTGGAGTAATCTATTAAAGAAGTAGTAGTGCTTAGATTATTTCTCTTCCAATTCTTTCAAAACGCAATCAGTATGTTAATTGACTTTTCTGTTGTTAATTCAGGACATCATACTCTACTAAGAGGCAATACAAAATTCCTCTCTCCTCATCCCATAGCATTTGTACAAAGGACAAATGTTGTACTAACATTTTTCTCTAGAAAGGTCACCGGCCAACTCAAAAATCTGCTCCACCTCCTTGAATAGAAAACCTGAGTCTCCAGCAGCCAGTCCAATACCTGGCATGAACAAAATGCTATTTTGTCTAAACGCAGTTTGGAGATACAGCCAGAATATGCTTTAACAAACAATTTATTTGCCAAGTTGCTTGGATTCTGCATATTATAAGTCTATGAAGACTTTATGACTGAGTTTTACTAGCCAGAGGAAAATACACATTCTGTTCATATGGTTTCAAAATATTTTGAGTATCCATAGAGTCTTGTTGACTCATGTTGAGACACGGACACTATGGATGAAGGCTTGCTGAAATAGCAGGCTTCCAGAATCAACATAAATCTCTCTCACAAAATTGTATATGAAGACAATCTGCTTGAGGGGTAGGCAGCAAATAGCAGGAAGTATATAACAATCATTAACTTCAAGAAAGAATATGTTCTTCATTAGCAGTGCAATCTTGAGAAGCAGCCTACTGCACTATGTTGCCTGCTGTTTATTATTTTACAGGACAAAAATATAAAAAGTACACAGTTTCCAGAGCTTGGAACTACCTGAAGTTTTTACTATTCAAAAACCTACTGCTCAGTACAATAGTATTTCAAAAAGTATGCTACAGATGGTCTTTGCCTACCTTTTTTAATCAGCCTCAGGAATAGCTGAATGAATGCACAACCATGGTTTTTCACTTCTTTATCAAAGACACCATTTAACAGCAATAACACCACCTGGGTGCTAATCTGCTCTGGTTTTCTTCCAGACTGTACTCCTCGTATACCTTCAAAACGCAATTGAAATATTGGAAACTGTTCTCCAAAATACAAAGAAATAAATGCAGTTCATCTACATCTGAAGTTCTTGCACTAAACAGCATAAAGTCTGCTCTTAAGACTGAAACAGCTACGTATCTCTGGCCAAAATACGGTATTTCTGCATTCTGGTTGGTAAAGAGCAATGAGGTTTTTTGCAATGAACTAGGCATACTACAAGACATCCTCTGAATCATTATTTCAGTTATATCTGTGCATTGATGGATTGGTATGGAAACTAAAATGCATAAAAAAAAACTCAGAGGAAGGAAAGTAAAAGTTTGCAATCTGTCACTGAAAATCATTTTTTAAAAATGTTTCCAAGAAAGAAATATTCATAATTCTATAATGAAAACTCAGAAATAGCTGCACTGCCTCCCTCTTTCACTAGGCTCGAATTTTTAACATAAAGCACAATTTGAAAGAGGGGCTTATATTGTGCAACCCTAATGATAAACCTGAGATTAAAAGTATTAATTCTTGTTAAAAGGTGAAGGGGAATTTGTTAAATGTTTACTTTCAGATTTACTGTAACTGCAGCAAGGGACTATTTTGCTCATCAGAGGAGGACAGATGCTGCTGCCTCCCACCCATGCTCCTAGGGCTCTGGAAGGATGGTAACCTGGATACCTGCTCCAGGGAATACCTGGAGATACCGCAGGCTGGGAGCAAAAACCCATCACACAGTGCTGCTGCTCTGAAAGTAATGTGTTTATGCAACAAATACCTAACAAAGAATGCTTAACCTGGTTTCACACTGCACCTACGAGAACATATTTTTCTCTTTAAAGGCAAATCACTTTAGGAATCAAGACAACCCTAAGCAGACTTCCATTGCCTTTCCTGTAACTTCACCACAGTGAGCTCCTCCATCTGAGCAGTGCAAAAGACAACAAATCCAGGAAGCTGTAAACCCCAATTTTGACATAAATCAAAGTATATAAGCCCATGGATGAAGTTATACAGTGTCAGAAAGGGTACAAGGACAGAGAAAAGCTCACCACAATGCACATACCAAAATGCACAAGCACCAGAGAAAGGAGGACATTTTCATAAAGCTAATCAAAGTAATTTTTAAAGGCACAAGAAATTTCAACAGTATAGTTTCAAATACAAGAACTGAAATGGTAGTTCTCTTCTCTCTATAAAATGCTTATTAGAAACCAGAAAACTCTGGTTGCCCTGAAATCCATGAGGAAAGTTCTCAGGGAACTCTAAAGGGCTTTAATTTTTCATATCTAGGCATCATTCCAAGTACAACAAACAGGCTGCATTGCAGAATTGTATTAAAATTGCTCAACAGTAATCAGTTTCTTTTTCAGAAGCTACCTCAAGACAAGTTTGGTGGTTTTTTTAGAAATTGACTTGCCCCTGTTATGAAAACTGGATCCCTGTAATGACATCTCAAGCACAGCAACCATAACTACAATGTGGAAAAATAACAGTACAAGTAGCTCAGTGAACATGAGAACTAATGAGGTAAGGTTTCCCTACATCTGCAGCCTACATTTCAGATGTCCCTTTCAATGCAGTATCTTGTTCCCACCACCAGCACAATATCCCACACAAATTCATCCACCCAAGTCTTTCCATTCCCTCCTGTATCTCGTAAACATCCCAACAATATCATGTCCAGATGTCTCTTATGGTGAAGAGAGATCCTTAACAACCGGCTGGTAAAGACAACACAAAACTTTGCCTGGTTTTGAGCTAACATGATGCTGACTGGCTGCAGCAGCCTAACAGAACTTGGACTATAAAAGCCAAGGTGCAGGCTGTCTTCCAGGGGGAGATGGACATTAATTTGAGTCCCTGTGACCTACCAAGCTACCAAATATCACAAAATTCAGAGGAAATGGGTACATTCTAAATTTCTTTCCACAAGTCAAATACAATTCATTAATTTTTTCAAATTAAAATCATTAAAACTAACCAACAAGTAAAAGATACAAGGAGAAACAAATTACAGAGACGCAGAATGGAATATGCATTTTACTCCTCATTTTACCAGGGAAGGAAGAGGACACTGACCAAGACTTGTAATTTACTGTAAGCACCTCATTCTTTTAAGAAAATGCAACAAAACTAATAAAATCATCAAACATTTTATAATACTTATGTGGAAATAACAAATTATCCAGGAATTTAAAGATAGATGTAGAACATATGTTAAAGGCAGTGAAGCATATACGGCTGTATCCTACTGGGGAACCTAC